CATGTCTCAGGGGCGGAAAATGGCCGTGGACCACGTGTCAGGGGCGGAAAATGGCCACGGACCATGTGTCAGGGGCGGAAAAATGGCCGCGGACCGTGTCATGGGAGGGAGAATGGCCACGTATCCTGTTCGTCACCCGAGGCGGAGTTCGCAAACCGAGGCAAAATTTTGCAGCCGGAGCTGGTCGTAACCCGAAAAGTGCGTTAACAGAAGCGTTCGTAACCCGAGGTTCCACTGTATTTAGATCTAGATGACTAGGTGTTTGGTTCTGCTAGTCAAACTTGGCTTAACTCTGTTCTCAAAGCTTAGAAAGTAGAGATTCTCTGCTCCGGGTGAACCCTCCGGTCTATCTGACTGGATGTTCATTCTGGTCTCCTTTTGGACCCAAGGAGACAGAACGAATAGCGCAGGGAGGTGAATTTGTAAGAAACAGGAAACGTTGTGATGCTGCAGCGGTCATGCAGATGAGCCAAGCCAAATGTCAAAATGAAAAAGGGAACGGCGAGAACGGTAGCGAGATCTGGACACAAGATACGCGCACGGCGGCTTCGAGAAGACTCACCTGACGTCCAGATGGTAGTCCAAAGCTTCAGGACTTAGAAGCAGAAAGAAAGGGGAGGCATGCATTAAGCACCGGGACAAAACACGAACCGATCAATGTGGGAAAGAGGCTAGTCCCTGTGAAACCCGAGCAATCCCGGTGGCTTTTTCTGGACGTTGCTCTGAGAAATGCAATGCTTCCAGGCCACATCATGATTTGTTAGGGGCGTGCCAAACATTTTGAAGGCAAAACAAATGTTTGCCCTGAAACAAATATGTTTCAGCAGTGTTTCCAGACGGTTCCCAACAATGTGTCTGAAATGCAGAACAGCTGATTCATGCTTGAAATGACTCTTTCAAGCTTGAAATGGGGTGTCCTGAATTGAAAGCGGTTCAGATTTGGAATGGTTTGCACGGGGCTGATGGTTGTGGAGCCTGGAGAACCGTCCCTTATCCATTATTTACACTGTTAAGGAATTATTGTAATGGGCAGAACAAGCAATGGGTAATTAAGAACAATACAACTCAAAGTTACTTCAATCTTGGGTTAGAGTGGATGACAAAGAGGTTAAACCAGGGGAAGAGGGGAAGCAAGTAGAAAGTCAGACAAACCAAAAAAAACCCTTCTCGAATTAAATAGGAGGCTCTGTCACGTATCTCGTATCGTTATTTCAATTATGCAAATTGGGATTTCTCTCTGAAACTCATTCAAGCATTGAGACTCAAGAGCTGGGCATATATATATATATATATATATATATATATATATATA